AGACAGGTCTTCTGCCCCTGTGGATCTTGCCGCCTGAGGCAGTGACCTCATCTTGCTTCACAGGTATGCCAGCCCTGGGCAGCAGCCTCTTCTGGCTGGGGCTGATGGGATTTGTAGTCCAAAACTTCTAGAAAGCACCAGTTTGGTGGCGGCAGCTGCAGACCTTTAACTTATCAAGTTTGCATTTCCCCCGTGTTTCCTTAAAGAGAGCATGTCTGCTTTGGAACGAGAGTACATTAAAAGAAAACGATGCAAATATCACAGGGGCATGCCTAGCAGAGGCTGGCTGAGATCCTGCAAACAGATTCTCCCCACCTCCTTCCTCCCTTTCTTTTGGCAACCGAAAGGAGCGCAGCTAATTAGCAAAACAGCAAAAAAATGTCAAATGTCTTTTTGATGCGCTGTTGCTGCCAGGGCTTTAAGAAAACCCGTTTTGCTGTTCTGGATCGCAGCTGGCCCAGGAAGGGCTCTGAAGGGGCAGGTGAAAGTGCAACAGCACCACCTTTTGGGGAAGCACCGATCCTGCACCCTTCTCTCTGGATCGACAGAAGGATGGTTGTCACCGCAAGGTGCGAATGCAAAAATCATGAGTTCTTAAGATCAAAAGTCACCAAATCAAAGGGCTCCCAAAGTGTGTCATAATGAGCCTTCCCACATCAAGGAGGGAGAAAAATGAGATTGAACCTGCAAAGTGTAAGGGATATATCATGTTAATGACATGGGAGGAGGGGGAAAATTCAATTCAGGTCACATTTAAAGGCAAATCTAACTAATGGGCACTTGACAAAAAAACAGGCAACCCAAAAGACAGTATCCTCCCAAATTTGCACTTCCTCAAATTTTGCAATGGCAAGCAAGGTGTACAACAGTGCATACACTAAAGTGTGCATAAAATTGCATATAATCGTGCATATCACTTACAAAAATGCATGATGTTTAGGGGGGAAATTGCTTTGCAAAGATGTGTATATTATGCAAAATTGTATACTCAGCCTGTCAATAGCAAAGGAGAAATCTAACACTAAAATGCTGATGAAATTTTGGGAGGCTGAAATTTTTTGCAACAAAAAAAATTAAATGGAGGCAGAGGGTGGAACTTAAAACTTGAAGAATAACTGAGAGTAGCCAAAACTGACACCAGCATTTGCAAAAAGGACACATTGCCCGGCTTGAACTGGGGCATTGTGCAGTGCAAAGCAGAAAAGAGACAAAGGAGACCTGCAAGGAAAACAAACAGCACCTTAATTTTGGGAGGACCACATCTTCATCTTAAGAGTTCATGAATCATAAATTAAAGAGAAATCTTCATTGCCTGCATTAAGTCTGGTCCCTGCTTGCAGGAGTTGATAGCCAGATCTTCCTGGCAAATACAAGAACGAGTGCTCTGATCTTTTCTGTAACTGTTAGGGTCAGGATGTTAGCTCTTCCTTCCAGGTCACTTGTGAAATAACAGCTGTACCAGAGTACAAATAGCTCATCAGGGGGTATAAAAAGGTAAAGGGTAAAGGGACCCCTGACCATTAGGTCCAGTCGTGGCCAACTCTGGGCTTGCGGTGCTCATCTCGCTTTATTGGCTGAGGGAGCCGGCGTACAGCTTCCGGGTCATGTGGCCAACATGACTAAGCCGCTTCTGGCGAACCAGAGCAGCGCACGGAAACACCGTTTACCTTCCCACCGGAGCGGTACCTAATTATCTACTTGCACTTTGACGTGCTTTCGAACTGCTAGGTTGGCAGGAGCAGGGACCGAGCAATGGGAGCTCACCCCGTCGCAGGGATTCGAACCGCCGACCTTCTGATTGGCAAGTCCTAGGCTCTGTGGTTTAACCCACAGCGCCACCCACATCCCATCAGGGGGTATATTTTATATTAAACATATGCCAGCTGTACTAATGTCATGATTCATAGGAATTAACCATGTAAAAGTCCAGGCTAGCAGCCATCATTGCATTATCCTGTCACTAACTGCAAAAAGTTCACCTATTTTAAAATGAATTGGTTGCCGAAGGCTGAGAGGGAGCTTTTATCCACCCTGTGCTAACATGAATTTCCTAGTATACAGTTGACTCCCTCCTGCGAAATCCTGCTAATCTGGAGGTACCCTAAGTGAATTTCCGTTGCATCCGTCACCCACTAAGATTTCTTCCTCCATACTAGGCTGCAGATCCTGTTGCCAAAGAAACCACACACTGCGTGTTCTGCTCTTCTGCTTTTACACATACATGCGAGAAGGGCATTTTCTCCAGCTCTGCAAATGCCACGTTTCCATTTTGGCACCCTAAATAAGCTGTTTCGTCTTCTGTCTTTTAATTCTAATAAACCGCTCCTGTTATTCCTTTGGAAAGGCACTGAGCTCCCAGATTCTTGTGAACAGGGTGCCTTTCCCCAGTGATGCACAATGACTCAGTTTCTTTGGCAATCCCATATGCACGTTCAGGTTGAGCGTGCAAATGCACGTGTGCGTTTCGACCGACCCAAAGAGAGATGCTGCACTTTTCAAAGGACAGGATGGATACAAACCACAATTGAACTCTAAGCCAGAGTGATTTGTAGAAGCGTCTGACCCTGAGAAGGAGGGGAGACAAGCTTGCCGTTCGACTCAGCAGACCATACCAATAATTGGAAAGGATGGGAAGAAAGGGGTGGGGGATCTGTGCATAGCTGCAGTGAAGTGTAGCCTTCTAGAAAACGGTGCAGTGGGGACATCTTGAGGAATCAAGAGATTATTACACTGCCCTTTTTTTTTGCAGTTACTCAGCTGCCCATAAGTTGTTGAGGGTGTGTTGTAGGCACCAATGCTTCTAAACACCAGTAGCCGGAAGCCACAGAACCAAGGCCAGATTTAAGTTTGATGAGGCCTAAGCTACTGAAGGTAATGGTGCCCTTTCTATGTCCAGCTGTCCTTTGTCAACAAGAAATTGTCGCTGTTTTTTGTGAGTTGAATATGTAAAAGGTAAAGGGAGCCCTGACCATTAGGTCCAGTCGTGACCAACTGTGGGGTTGCGGCGCTCATCTCGCTTTACTGGCCAAGGGAGCCGGCTTACAGCTTCCAGGTCATGTGGCCAGCATGACTAAGCCGCTTCTGGCAAACCAGAGCAGCGCACGGAAACACCGTTTACCTTCCCGCCGGAGCGGTACCTATTTATCTACTTGCACTTTGACGTGCTTTCGAACTGCTAGGTTGTTAGCAGCAGGGACCGAGCAACGGGAGCTCACCCCGTCACAGAGATTCGAACCCCCGACCTTCTGATCAGCAAGTCCTAGGCTCAGTGGTTTAACCCACAGTGCCACCCATGTCCCGTGTTGAATATGTGCTATATGGTAATTTATGGACCTAATAGGCATCTCAAGCCATTTGCACATAACAAAATATGTATTTTATCAAAGTAATTGCTGAACTGGAATACAATCAAGAAGAAGTATATTAATAGTGAAATGCAATTAAGAAGAAGTATATTAATGGTGAAATAATGATTAAGCTCTAACTTAAAATGGACCGTGTTCTTGAAGCTATGAACATGAGTTTGACCAAACTGCGGGAGGCAGTGGAAGACAGGAGTGCCTGGCATGGTCCATGGGGTCACAAAGAGTCGGACACGACTAAACGACTAAACAACAACAACAAACTTAAAATGATTTTTTTTTATTCATAACAAACAATAATGCAAACACATTGGCATTTGGCAATAACAAAAGTTCCTTTAGAAACACAATTTACAAGGACTCATAATCTAGTCTCTATAAACTTGCTATAACATAAAATAATAGGTGATACATGATGCAAACTACTAATAATTATAAATAGCAAGCACTCTTTAATATTAGATAACAGGTACAACAGCTTGACCTACATTCAACTGTGCTGCACTGCACCATGCGACCAGTCCATGCAGAACGTAGGCACCCTATATATAGAAAGGAGCAAACCAGTGATATTTTAGGGAGCAGGCTAGCAGGCGAGGCCCATGACTTGCATCATAGGAACCTACACAACACAAAACACTGTTGCTCCATGTACGTTTTATTTTGTTTTTTATCTTATATTTTGGAAATGTACATCCAGGGGTTTTTTCCTTGAATTTTTTTTGGCGCCCCCAAGAGAGTGGGGCCCTAAGCTATAGCTCGTTTAGCTTATACATAAATCTGGCCCTGCACAGGAAGGGAGAGAGTTCTTGTATCTGAATGCTGCTTGCAGATTTCCCATAGGTATCTGACAGGTCACTGCAAGAACAAGATTCTGGGCTAGATGGAATATTTGCCGCATCCAGCAGGCTGTTCTTTTGTTCTTCTGGGAACATTCAGACAATCAGTATTTAGCAGGAAGGAGCCAAGCACACACCGGAAATTTAGGTTTGCACAGTTCAGGTGGATTAAAGCACTCTGTTGCTCTAGAGTACGTGTTCTTATCAAATATACTAGATATATATATATATAGCTCAATCAGTAGAGCATGAGACTGTGGAGGCAGAACTGTGAACAGAGAAACTTAATCAGGCAAGGCCTTCTTCCACCTGCCTTCCAGTCTCTGCTTCTCAATTTGTATTGTAGTATTTTATGCACTGTGGCTTGTCATTTTATTGACTGTAGTTTAGAAATTATTTAATGTACAGTGGTACCTCTGGTTGCGAACGGGATCCGTTCCGGAGCCCCGTTCGCAACATGAGCAAAACGCACCCCGCGTCTGCTCATCTGCACATGCGCGAGTCGCAATTCGCCACTTCTGCGCATGCGCATGACGTCATTTTGCACGTCTGCATATGCACGAGCAGCAAAACCCGGAAGTAATCCTTTCCGGTACTTCCGGGTCGCCGTGGGACGCAACCTGAAAACGCGCAACCTGAAGCAAACGCAACAAGAGGTATGACTGTAATTGTTAAGAGTGGATTTCTGTTTAATTTTTATATGCTGATATTTAATATTATTCTATACTATTCTAATGATTGTTGAATGTTACTTTATTTGATGTAGGTTGCTTATTTTAAAGTTATGTTTAATTATCACATTTTTGTATTGCATTAGATTGTTATAAGGTGCACATTCTTTGTTTCTTCAGCTTGTAAACCGCCTTGGATATTGTAAGATAGAAAGATGGTATACAAATTAAAAGTGATGATGATGATGATGATTATGATGATAATCTCAAGGTTGTGAGTTTGAGCCCCACTTTGGGCAAAAAGATTCCCTCGCGGTCCCTTCCAATTCTACAATTCTACAGTTGTAATAAATTCCATTTGTGCCTCTCTCTCTCAATTTAAGAGTTCTTAATAGTGTGTATTGCATTTAATATTCAAGTGGATTTGGTTAGACTTCCTCAACAGACCTCCTCAACAGTGCTCACCTTCTGAACGACCAGTTCTGGAGGGAGAAGCTAGACCACCTTTTGCCCACATTGGAAAAACCTTTACAACAGGATCCCCAGATTCTCCCCAAATAGCCAAATAGGGTCAGTGAGTACCAGAAAGCAAGGGCAGCATAGGATACATACAAGCAGTTGAAGTATCTTTCCATAAGGGCCAACATTGATGCCGAAATCCAGCATCGCCTGAGCTCTGTGAGTGCGGCTTTCTCCTGACTGAAGTGCAGAGTGTTTGAGGACCGGGACACTTGCAGGGAAACCAAATGCTTGTTTACAAAACTACTGTACTACCAACCTTACTATATGCTTGTGAAACATGGACCATTTATAAACGCCAACTCCAACTCCTTGAAAGATTCCATCAATGGTGTCTCCGAAAATTTTTACACATCACTTGGGAAGACAGGTGAACTAATGGCAGTGTACTGGAAGAAGCAAAGATCACCAGTGTTGAAGCAATGATTCTTCAACATCAACTTCGTTGGACGGGTCATGTTGTCTGGATGCCTGATGATCATCTTCCAAAGCAACTACTCTATTCCCAACTTAAAAATGGAAAGCGTAATGCTGGTGGTCAACAAAAGAGGTTCAAAGACTGTCTCAAGGCAAATCTTTAAAAATGTAGTATAAACACTGACAACTGGGAAACACTGGCGTGCGAGCACTCCAGTTGGAGAACAGCCTTTACCAAAGGTGTCGTGGGCTTTGAAGACACTCAAACTCAGGACGCAAGGAAGAAACGTGCTAAGAGGAAGGCACGCTTGGCAAACCTTCACCATGATCAACTCCCGCCCGGAAACCAATGTCCCCACTGTGGAAGGATGTGTGGATCCAGAACTGGCCTCCACAGTCACTTACGGATTCACTGTTAAAACCATGTTTATGGAAGACAATCTTACTCGGCTATGAAGGATCACCAAAGAAGAAAGACATAGGAGCAGTTGAAGTCTCTGTCCCTATGGCTGGGTCTGAGGACACAATGCTAGGGCTGTCACCATAGAAACTTGCTGAGCTGATGTCAGGCAGAAGCTGAGAAGACTGAACATTCTGGAACAGCAAGCAGCCGGTGTTTATATTGTTTTGTATCGAGGGTGGAGGCCCTTGAGAAGATTCTGGCAGAGGAATCTCAAAAGCCAACCTCAGAGTTGCAGCCTTGATAGACACAGGACCTCAGAAACAGTTCAGGGGGAAAACTAGAGACACATGTCACATTTGAATGACTCATTTTGCACCTGTTTCACCCTGGCAGTCTGAGTAATCAAGAGGCCGCTGTTTGCCCCAGATGGGGCCCTTTTACTGGGGCTTGCAGGTAGCACACCCCCAAGATAGTTTTCCGGGCTTCTTCAGTGATCTAATCTCAGAGCCTTGATGCATGTATTGATATTCAATTTCATAGAGAATACTATTTCTTGGCTTAAGCAAATCAGTCTCTTAAGCTTAAGCCAAGAAATTGGTAATTATTGTGTGTATATTAGTCACCAACCTGCTAAGGTAAGTAAGCTGCTGCTCTCATGTTCACCTTTGGCCAGTCTCCGTTGGGCTGCTAAGGCTGTCTATATACAATAAGCTTAAAAAAGTCTTTAAGTATACCTTTTTTAAAAAACCCGAAGCCTTTCTATTGGGATTGACAGGGAAGGAAATTAAAAGGAAGGATAAAAATCTTTTTCTGTATGCCATGACAGCAGCAAGAACTACCGTATTTTTTGCTCTATAAGACTCACTTTTTCCCTCCTAAAAAGTAAGGGGAAATGTGTGTGTGTCTTATGGAGCGAATGCAGGCTGCGCAGCTATCCCAGAAGCCAGAACACCAAGAGGGATTACTGCTTTCACTGCGCAGCAATCCCTCTTGCTGTTCTGGCTTTTGAGATTCAGAATATTTTTTTTCTTGTTTTCCTCCTCCAAAAACTAGGTGCGTCTTGTGGTCTGGTGCGTCTTATAGAGCGAAAAATACGGTATGTTGGCCCAGAACTGGAAAACAGATGCAATACCCACTATAATGGAATGGCAGGTTAAAATGATGAATTACGCAGAACTGGCTAGAATGTCAGGAAAAGTACGGGATCAGGATGAAAAGAAGTTTGCTGAAAGTTGGAGTAAATATTTGGTGTATATAAGAGAAAATTGTAAAACTTTAAAGACACTGGCAGGGTTAGAGTAACTCTAGCGGCATAAGACAAAACAGTAGCTAATAGAATACGTGGTGTAAAAACTATATGATACTTACCGAAGGGATGGAGGGAAGTCCGGAGCTCGGCAGAGCTAAAGGTATATGTGGGATGTATAAATGTATAATGAGTCTATGTGCACTAATGAAAACTAATAAAAAATTATTGGGGGGAAAAGAGAATACTATTTCTTGGCTTAAGCTTAAGTGCGTCCCTTGATTACTTGGACCGCCAGGGCCAAACAGGCGCAAAACGCTGGCCCCCTGTCTACAACTTCCTTAACATCCATCTACAACTTCACTAGCATCTCTCGGTATTGTGAACAACACCGAACTTACCTTTTGTTGTTAACTTCATGAACTTACCTAAAAAGATAAAGAAAACAAAAGACGGAGTTAAGCATTTGAAAAACCCATTGAAACCAGACATTGTAAGTTCATCTTAGGTTGGGTAGTTCACAAGTCTCTGTGGCTTTGCACAAGCTTTTGTATTTTTCTCAGAAGATTGATAAAGAATGTCTAATTATTTTGGTAATTATTGTGTGTATATTAGTCGCCAACGTATGAGTCGTACTACTGCCTCCTGTGGCAGCGAGTTCCACAGTTGTGGAACTGCGCTGTGTGAAGAAGTCCTTTCTTTTTCTCTCAGCGTTCAGCTTCAATGAATCTCCACCACTTCGAAAGTAACATTTTTATATGTAACTGCAGTTTTTGTGGTATTTTGTTTAAGTCGTCTGCGGACGCTTCAGTTTTTTGCACACCGCTTAGAAATATTTTTAATAGATTAAGCTGTATAGAAAGCTACGAAGCAGCATAGAAATTAAACAATGTTGTTGGCACCCGTCTGTCTCAGGAGGCGGGAGAGGAGAGCACCTTTGAGGGTACAGTCATACCAGCGGCGTAGCGTGGGTTGTCAGCACCCGGGGCAAGGCAAGTAATTTGCGCCCCCTAACCCGGGGCAAGGCAAGTAATTTGCGCCCCCTAACCCCTAACCTGCCGCCGCTGCCAGCTTCTTCTTGCTGCTGCCTGGGCTGGTCTGGTGTGGTTCTCTCCCGCGCTCAGCGCTGCGCTGGGCGGCCACTGCACTGTCCCTCCCCCAGATAGCCCCTCGCTCTCTCTCCGCATCGCACGCCTGGCACCCACCCCCTCCACAGTGGGCGGCGACCCAGTGGCTCGGATCAGATTCGCACAGCCAGCACTGCAGTGAGAGAGAGTGAGTGAGCCAGGTAGGGGCAGAGAGCTGCGAGTGCGAGCGCGCCCCCAGATGTTGCGCCCGGTGCGGCCGGCCCCCCCTGCACCCCCCACGCTACGCCACTGAGTCATACTGCTGAAAGTCAAACTGTCTCTTTCGTATTGGTCTCTACAGCCACAGCTTAGCCATGCAAAGTTTTATAGACATCTATCATGTCACTTTTATAGACTTCTGTCATGTCATTTCTTCCTCATATTTTTTCTGAACTAGGAACTCACAAGTGCTACAACCTTTCCACATGGAGGAAAATGCTTTGACCATTTGGCTTGCCCCTTTCTGAATTCAGAATATGCCAGAATTACAGAATCCATTTTTAAAAATTGAAAAAGAGACAACCAAATGGATACTCCTAAGAGTCTTGAGGAACAAGAGCTAAGAAAAAGTGAGACAAAAACAAGACAACTCCATCAATAAAACTAAGCTAAAAAAAAACCCTAAACTAAACTAAACAAGTTAGAATATCCAATTTATTCAAATAGCCTAGTCAAACTGTTAAGTTGTGGGTGAACATATCAGACGACACAGCGATTCTTCAAACAGCTCTTGTTTATTCACAGGCCAGGACAGAACTGAACTGAAGGGTTCAGTCAGCCTGCTTATATAGAGCTCCAGTACAACGTAACTGTAACAATTTTCTAAAACTATCCAATCACTGAACGTCACTTTCGATCCCTTATTTGCATAACTATCTACAGTATCCCCCTGCTGGCCCAGGGTGAGAACTTCAGTACATAACACAAACAAACAGGACCTCCAACAGATTAAGTAAAGAAAATAGATATAGCAATAGCTCCCACCCCATCTTTTGTGTGGTGAGTTCCCGACACCCCCAGGTGGAAATAATGACACATGACAAAATTATTAAGGTTAATGGGCGAAAAAAGGCCACAACTTTATTGGTTACAGGTGATGAGCAGTACTGGCTTAGGCATTGGTCCTAACCGACTATATCCGACTCCAGCCCATCCGGGAAGGGTTAACCACCAGTAGGGGGAGCCCTGCTGATGCACATCACTAGGAACTCCCCGGGGTCACCGCTAGGGGGCGTGCCTTAGGCCCTCAGCTCCCTAGGCTTCGGACAGGGCCACGCCCCTCAGAATCCTTTAACGGACTACCCTTCAATATGCGGGGCAGGTGATGGCGCTTCCTCCCCTCTTACGTCTACAGAGCAATACCAATGCCTAACCGCCAATACCAAGAAAGTTGTAATGATTTGCCACAAGGTAGGCAAAAACTGTGGCTGGTGCCAATTTGCCAAGTGGGAAAATTCCTAGCAGGCCCCTCAACAGCAACCGACTGAGGTCCATGGCAAGGTCAAGGAACGAAAACCTTATAGGGTGGGAGGGTGGGGAAAACAGGAACAGCTGGTGGGCGGCAAAGAGGGAGATCCCCTGCCGCGTCCTGCTTTAAATAGGGCAGGCCACGCCCCCAGAGCCAGCTGATTGGCCGGCCAGGGGGTGATGCATCCAGGAATTCCCCCAATCGCGCGGGGCTGGCCTCCACCCACCGTGCGCATGGAGGGGCCGTGAAGCCCACAACCCCACCTCCTCCTAAGGCGGAAGTGACTTTACGTGAAGCAGTGAAACTTCTCCACAGAGACAGGAAAATATATCTCATTTTGAATACTGCTCTGCTGCTTAATTCTTTTTTTCTTTTCTTTTTTGAGAAAAGCAGAGAAATTTAATACCGGGCCAAACAAATAACTATGGAATTGGGGGTGACTCAGTGTCGATGTTGTCATAGATTCACACTCTTGAACACAGTGAAAAGTGAACCAGGCTAACCGGGCAGCACCTGTGCCCTGGCTGCCTGATGATCCAGGTAGCAAGTATTTATGACACTTCACCCAGCGCTGATGTCAAATCCTAGCAGGCTGCTGAACCAATAGGACTCAGAGCCCAAGAAGGACCCTCCTTTGCAAGACAGACAAGCCATCCAATGTGTGCCCAGTAAGTTGGCTGGATTCGGCCGTAGTTCAGTGGTAGAGTCCCTGCTTCTCCATGTGGATGGTCTGTGGTTGAATCCCTTGTCTCTCCAGTTCAAGGATCAGGGCCAGAAAAAAACCTTCTCTGGCTCACTAAAGGAGGATAGAATAAGGGGCCGTCTTGTAAAACTTGCTTTCCTTTTCTCTCTGCGTTGCTGTTCTACGTTACAGGCAGCTGCAGCAACCTCCAGGTCTGGGTGTGAGCTCAGGAAGCCCCCGGTTCAGATCTTACCACACAAGGCTCAGCCTTCCATCTGTAAAATGGGCACAACGTTGCCAAATTTACAGGGCTCTGTTGCAAAACATAATGAGATTTGAAATAGACTATGGCAATTGATGCTGTTGGTGATGATAGCTCATCCACACAGGTCTGCCACACACAAGAGCAGCTGAAACAGAAGGACTATTACTGCCTCTACAGTGGTACCTCAGGTTAAGTACTTAATTCGTTCCAGAGGTCCGTTCTTAACCTGAAACTGCTCTTAACCTGAAGCACCACTTTAGCTAATGGGGCCTCCTGTTGCCGCCGCGCCGCCAGAGCACGATTTCTGTTCTCATCCTGAAGCAAAGTTCTTAACCTGAAGCACTATTTCTGGGTTAGTGGAGTCTGTAACCTGAAGCGTATGTAACCCGAGGTACCACTGTATTATTGTTTGCATTGCATAAATATGGACTCTGTGTTCTCAAAAGCCAAAGTGGTGTTTACAGCTATGAGCTTAGAACGTCGTCAAAATCCTTCACCAAGGGAGACCCAAATTTGGCAGTAAGAAAAAAAAACGGATCTCCGTAACACATACAAATTGAGCGAATGCGCATAATTTCACTCATTTCACGTAATTTGCTCGACAAATTTGCAACATTCATTCAGTTCTATGGTAATAATAATAATAATAATAATAATAATAATAATAATAATAATTTATTATTTGTACCCTGCCCAGCTAGCTGGGTCTCCCCAGCCACTCTGGGCGGCTCCCAACAGAATATTAAAAGCACAATCAAACATGAAAAACTTCCCTAAACAGGTCCGCCTTCAGATGTCTTCTAAAAGTCAGATAGTTGTTTATCTCTTTGACATCTGGTGGGAGGGCGTTCCACAGAGTGGGTGCCACCACCGAGAAAGGCCCTCTGCCTGGTTCCCTGTAGCTTTGCAGGGAGGGAACCGCCAGAAGGCCCTCGGTGGTGGACCTCAATGTCCAGGCAGAACAATGGGGGTGGAGACGCTCCTTCAGGTAGACTGGACTGAGGCCATTTAGGGTTTAAAGGTCAGCACCAACACTTTGAATTGTGCTCGGAAATGTGAGTAGACCTGCATAGAATTGCACTGTCAATGCTAGAGTAACAGAGCAATTAACAACAACAAGAACCTTATGCCAGACTACGTAGAGCTAGAACAAGCAGGTCTTGCTGCTAAGCAGGGAAAGGTTAGGACGGTGCCCTGAAGGAACCCTTGGTTTCACCTCTACAGGCAGCTCTTATGTTCTTACAGAGCATTGCTTAAGAACATAAAAGAGCTTGCTGGATCAGGCCCATGGCCCATCTAGTCCAGCCTCCTGTTCTTGCAGGGGCCAAACAGATGCCTCTATTGGAAAACCCACAAGCAAGATTCAAGCGCAAAAGCCCTCTCTCTTCCTTTGATTTACAGCAACCGGGATGCACAAGCATTGCTTCCTTCGACTGTGGAAGTCAGAGCATGCTAGCCATCACCACTAGCAGCCTTTGATAGCCCATCGCTATCTTTTAATTTGTCTTTTAAAGCCGTATAAGTTGGTGGCGATTTCTGCCGCCTGCGGGAGCGAGTTCCATAGTTGAACCATGCACTCTTTGTTTCTAAGATTCCAACACACTTCCAACCATATTTCCCCAACCTTAATAATAATAATATTTTTTTATTTATATCCCGCCCTCCCCAACCAAAGCCGGGCTCAGAACGGCTAACAACAATAAAAGTTACACAGCATTCTAAAATCAATTCATTCTAAAATCAATTCAAAATCAAATTCATGGCGACCATTGGGCTAGAGTTCTGTGAGGATTACAGAAGGAGGGGGTCAGGCTGTGCCTTGGCCAAAGGCCTGATGGAACAGCTCTGTCTTGCAGGCCCTGCGGAAAGATGTCAAGTCCCGCAGGGCCCTAGTCTCTTGTGGCAGAGCGTTCCACCAGATCGGGGGGAAAGCAACTTCATCATAAAGTTTTACCAAGCCCCTCCATTAAATATCTCCACAGTTGCTCCTTTCCTCAAGTACAGTGGTGCCTCAGTTTTTGAACATAATCCATTCCGGAATACCCTTCGACTTCTGAAATGTTCAAAAACCGAGGCACAAAAGGCGGTCTGCAAATTCAGTGGAGAAAATTTTTTTGTGGGGGGGGACGGACTTCAGCAGAAGCCGTTCGACTTCCGGGGCACGTTGGAAAACAGAAGCATTTACTTCCGGGTTTTCGGCATTCGAAAACCGAAACGTTTGGCTTCCGAGACATTAGACAACCAAGGTACCCCTGCTATAAACTTGATTTCTTTAAAGGAGAAAAAGAAAGTCTGAAAACGGCCATTCTGCAGCAGCTGACCCCTGGCTCAAATCCTGTGGCTTTTTCAGTGTGTGTGGCGTCATGGCAAACATGCCGTGATTCCACATGGTTTGTGGCAGGGAGTCTTCAGCTGGGCATTGCAGGGGGTTGGACTAGATGACCCCTGGAGCCCCTTTCAACTCTACCGTCCTATGACTGTATGCAATCCTCCTCTTGGGTCCAACCAGTTCTTCCTCTGTCTCCTTTGGATACCAACTCCTGATGGCAGCATGTTAGCAGCAAGGCCTGTGGACTTTGCATTGCTTTAAGGTGTCTTAAGGTGTAGAAATAGCTTTCAGGTATAGATAAAGCTTAACCTGTTCTGACTTAGATGCCCTCAGGCATCCTCCAACCCTAAGCCCAGATTGAATTCAGCGGCTCATAATTGGCATCTATGAAAGCCAACAGACCAAGGTATGCAGGTCTGGGTGGATAAAGTGAGTGTCATCGCTTAGACATGTGAGCAGGAGAAATCTCACCCGCCCTGATCAAGGAGGGAAGGGACCATTTGCCCCCAAAAATACCCACCACACCCTATGCCCACCTCATTCTTCATCTGCTTAGTTCCACTGCTGTGCACTGAGTTGCCTAAGGGCACTGCAAGGGCAGGCAGGGGAACTCCTGTTTGGAGAGAAGGATTGGTGATGCCTCACATTCCTGGTGAGAAGAAGCCCCATTGGTCCTGCCAGAAGCTGGACATGACCCTCCCAGTCTCATGTGGGCCAACAGTTACTTTTCAGAGTATATAAAGCAGCCCCAAGAAGTGAGGATGTTCCATTCCCCGCGCGACGAAGACATCCACCAGCGATGAAGGCCCTTCTGATCTTCGTGGTGGCTGGAAGCTTCTTCATGCAGCCGAGTAAGTCTTTCAATTGGTTTTTCTTCATTCTGAGTGTATTTCATCTAGGAAACTCAGCTCTGTGAGCTATCAAAACCTTAATTCATCCTTCATAAGCCAACCAGAGCCAGTGGAGTGGAGTGGTTAAAGCTTCAGACTAGGACCTGGGAGTTGTTGCTGTTTAGTCGTTTAGTCATGTCCGAATTTTCGTGACCCCCTGGACCAGAGCATGCCAGGCACTCCTGTCTTCCACTGTCTCCCGCAGTTTGGTCAAACTCATGCTGATAGCTTCGAGAACACTGTCCCACCATCTCGTCCTCTGTTGTCCCCTTCTCCTTTCCCACCATCAGGGTCTTTCCCAGGGAGTCTTTTCTTCTCATGAGGTGGCCAAAGTATTGGAGCCTCAGCTTCAGGATCTATCCTTCCAGTGAGCACTCAGGGCTGATTTCCTTCAGAATGGATCGGTTTGATCTTCTTGCAGCCCATGGGACTCTCAAGAGTCTCCTCCAGCACCAGAATTCAAAAGCATCAATTCTTCGGTGATCAGCCTTCTTTATGGTCCAGCTCTCACCTGGGAGACCAGGGTTCAAATCCTCACTCTGCCATGAAGCTCAGTGGGTGACCTTGGGCTGGTCACTGCCTCTCGGACTAACCTACCTCACAGGGTTGTTGCGGAGATTAAATAAGGAGCGGGAGAACCATGTGCACCACCTCGAACTCCTTGGAGGAAAAGGTGGGATATAAGTGCAATAAATAAATGGATTGATCAATTCATCAATCAATTGCATTGCATTTATATCCCATCTTTTTTGTTCTCCAAGGAGATCAAAGTGGCAAAAATGGTTCTCAACCTCCCCATTTAATGCCCACAGCAACTCTGTGGAGTGATTTGGGTTGGGAGACACGGACTGGAACCCAAGGTCACCCAGTGAGTTTCACAATGCCCAAGTAAGGATTGAAACTCTGGTCTCTGGCACTTGGAAGTTAAAGACCTCCAAAACATAACTTAAACGAGTTTGCTCCCACAGCCCTTATTAGGGTTATTTCCTGTTAAGATTCCCCAAGCATTCTCTGAAACTTTGACTCTTAATCAAACCTTCGAGACGGGAATTTTACAAATGCCTCAAATGTCAATATTTGCCAGAGTTTTATCGTTGGCGTGCAATGGAATTTAGCATGTTACGGTTTTTTATATTTGGCATGCCAGATACTGTCGTTTGAAATTACTGCATTAGATACTTGGCACCAGAGATGGGGTAAGAATTCAATCCGGTTCACGTTGAAAGGAGAACCTAACTAATTTGCAGTTTCTGAAACAATCTGTGGATGGGAATAGAGCCATCCTTCAAAATCTGGAGAAATGCAGTTTTCCAGCCAAACGATACGTTTAAAAAAAACACCAGACTAGGGCAAGGTGTGCATAAAAATGGATATATACAGGAATTTGGGAGGGAGGATTGGGCTATCCTGCTTGCTCTGAGTGCCACAATATCTCCCCACCCCAGGCCTCCCTATTTCTCACCAACAGCTCAAAAATGACAATTGTATCTCTTCTCCTCAACTTCTGAACCCACAAAGGGTTCTGATATCTTCCCCAGCCTCACCCTCTCTCCCACCCAGAGTTTTCCCCAAAGGACAATGATGTCTGCAGTCTCTCTCTCTCTCTCTCTCTCTCTCTCTCTCTCACACACACACACACACACACACACACAAGCCTTCCTCAGCACCAGCAGAAAGAGAGGGAGGAGAGCCCCCCTTCTAGCTGCTCACGGCCGCACCTCTTCTTCCTCCCGAGGTGACCCATTCAAGCTCTGAGGTATATCCTTGCAAGAGCCTGCTTCTAAGTCTCAGCTCAGGCCTTGTGCCTCTTGCCCCTCCTGGTGGCTCAGACTGTCATTACAGCATGACAACGATCTAGTGCAAACATAGTATAGAGGGAAGTGATATTCAGACAGTCAATCTACTGGGGGAAATTGGTTTGAAAACCTATGTGCGCTAGGTTTAAAATTGCATTGTGAAATGTGCATATTTTGGCAGAGACGTCCAGTGCCCTAACACACAGGAGCCGAGTCAAAGAACTTGTTGACTGATTTACCCCTGCTTCCCCTTAACTGTGTCATTTCCCCTGGTTTATTTTTTGATTATAAGATTGTCAAGGGACGCTCCTCTCCTCTTGTACTCATGCAAAGCACTGGGAACACTGATAGGCTATGTATCAATTAATAAATACTAAGGTTCCAGGGAGGATGTAAGATTGTTCTTGAACTCTCTCCAACATATTAGATATGGAAACTGACAGCGGTCTGATTTTGATGGCCCGTAACCTTAAAACAGTTTACAAAAAAAGGGGGATAAAACAATCATTAAGAAAAATTGACAACAGTAATTGAAGACTTTTGAAAAGTGAACATAACAATAGAGGGGGAAACAGCTTAAAACTTGCACCAGTTTCCTAAACCTCTGGTAGACTTGCCCAGTGCTTTTTTTTTCTGGGAGGAACACAGTACCCCTAAACATTTTGTGAATCTAACTTTGGCCTCATTAAATTTTCAATATGAGTTGGAAAAGGGGAGTACCCCTAAACCTTTTTTTTTTTTTTTAAGCACTGGACTTGCCTAAACAAAAAAAGTTTTTAACAGGTTTCAAAAAGAGTACAGTGAAGGCACTTGCCTGGTATTATTAGTGAGCACAGATCCCTAGCATGAATCTTACTTACATATTCTGTTGAAAAATATCAGCTGACAAAGACTATTACGAAACAGCAGTATCATTCCGGAGACACTGTCCTTTTGAGGCTTTTGAGACGTCTTCCGCTGAAACTGTTGAAAGACTCTTGAGAGACTTTGGAAACTTTCGAAAGACTATTGTGAGATTGTCCTTAGACATCTGTTTTGAGTACACAGCTTGGCGGTCCTCGCTACCACTCTGTTATATTGTGCATATGAACTCTGACTGGCTTATTCCTATAATTTGAATGATATCATTATTTAATTATATATTCTCAACTAACTATTAGCCTACGTGTCGTGTTTGTATTGTTGTGATTGGTTCTTGTCAAAATTACAAATACCTAAATACAGACGGTCATTTACCCTCGCTAGATTCAACGTGCTGCCATCTGCCTTATTGCAGGGCAGATTTGAGGGTAAACCGTACGCGGAACGAGTCTGCCCCTGCAGCTTGATGGAGGTAGAAACTGTCTCTCATGCAAAAATCTCCAAATGAATCCAAACTTCAGTGTCTAAAATCCCTGGTAGAGGACAAGGATCCTGAGATCACGTTAAGGGTAGCCAAATTCTGTGTGATTGCCATAAAACTTAGGGAACAAGCTGCGCTATCATAATGATTAAGATTTTAAATGATAATTTTAGGTTATATGTTAGTGACTAAGTTTTAATTTATACATTTTTTGACTGTTGCTATATCTGTATTGTCCCTGTTATACCTGATTGCAAATTCAAATATATCTCTATAGTGTTTGAAGACTTCCTTGATATTATATGTGGACTGGAACTGGTCTGTGACCGAAATAATAAAATTCAAGATTCAAGGTTCTTATTGCAACACAGGGGTTTGTTTTTGCTATTAGTAGGCAGGAATTTCCAAAGTGTAGCTTCTTCACTTTGTTCCTCCCCCCCCCCCCATTAAACCGTTTCCCTCTCTTATAGCTGGTTCACTGAAGTGTTACACCTGCAACACCCAGGTCAACAACAATAACTGCAAAGGACAGCAAAACTGTGATGGAATTGGACAAGTATGCAAAACAGATGTCATTGGTAAGACCATTTCTTAGGTGCCCTTCTTCTTCTGTTGGGTTTGTTATTCCTTCCTCAATTCCTCAAAAATTGAAACCAAACTTTTTAAAAATCCGGCTTTCAAAATAAACCTTTATGCCCCCTTTTTAATACAAAAGCGGCAAGAAAGGCAATTCTTTCTCTGTGTCCTTTGATTTTCGCTATTCTTATTTTCGCAACTATATATATATATAGACACGGGTGGCGCTGGGGTCTAAACCACTGAGCCTAGGACTTGCCGATCAGAAGGTCAGTGGTTCGAATCCCCGTGACGGGGTGAGCTCCTGTTGCTCGTTCCCTGCTCCTGCCAACCTAGCAGTTCGAAAGCATGTCAGAGTGCAAGTAGATAAACAGGTACCGCTCCGGCAGGAAGGTAAACAGCATTTCCGTGTGCTGCTCTGGTTCGACAGAAGCAGCTTAGTCATGCTGGCCACATGACCTGGAAGCTGTACGCTGGCTTAAATAACTGTTGGAAATGATATGTTAAAAAAAATGTATTAAAAAAAAGTTCAACATTTTTGGGATTTCCTAAAAAAAAAATAATCAGGTGATTTCGGGGTGTCCTTTTTTTTACTTTTTGGACTATGGCAACCCTATGCTAGCAGGTTTCCCACTGTTTGGTGAGAACAGGATTTATTATTATTTTTATTATTTTTATTTTTATTAATTTTTTAACATATAAATTCCAACAACCAGTTAACATAACTTCTTATCTTATACAGTATTTTAGACTTCCGTCAACAACCTCTGAAGATTTTCCATTCTTTATCACTTGTTCTGCATTTCTGAATTTCTCTATCACTTTAAATTCTCCTTAACTAATCATTCTCTTCAAAGTCTTCCTTGCAATATTTCACAAAGTCCTCCTTACAGAACTTCTTGCAGTCCTACTAGCGTAATCTGTTTATCACAACTGCTTTTCAAATAGTTCAAGTATTTACTCCAGTCCTCTATTGAAATATACTCGGAGTCGAGAGTGGATTTCATGCTCTTTATTCAGCTCATAGTGGTGAGGAGGAATGAAAGTTCCCCCAAAATATCTGCTTCATATACATTATTTACACAATGGGCCGCACGTGATTGGCCAATTCTGGGATTCTCCTGTAGGCCAATCAGGTTGTGGATTCACTTCCATCTGGAGCTGGATTGGGTGGCTCCTGCGGATCGATCATACTGCTGCATTGTTCTAGGACCAATCGGACTGCTGCATTCTGGATCCTATTGTTCTAGGACCAATCAGACTGCTGCATTATGGATCCTATTGTTCTAGGACCAATCAGACTGCTGCATTCTGGATCCTATTGTTCTAGGACCAATCAGACTGCTGCATTTTGGATCCTATTGTTCTAGGACCAATCAGACTGCTGCATTCTGAATCCTATTGTTCTAGGACCAATCAGACTGCTGCATTTTGGATCCTATTGTTCTAGGACCAATCAGACTGCTGCATTTTGGATCCTATTCAACTCAGTACATAACACCTATGAATCTCTGGTCCCGCAGGTTTCGAATCCTCCCTCTTAATTTATCTAATTCTACATCGTCCATTAATTTCATTTGCCCTTCTTCTTTCGTTCGGTAATTCTTCTTGCTTCCATTTTTGTGCCAATAACATTCTTGCTGCTGTTGCTCCCGATCTTCTTCCCAGGTGTCGTGGGCCTTTTCAACGTCATCTCGAAGGAATGTACTGCGTCCTGTGATCCTTACTTCAGCGACTTCAAGGTGGGAAGAAGGAATGTCTCCTGCTGTTCCACCGACCTCTGCAACGTCAACGGAGCCTCTGACTTCAAGATGGGTTACGTCCAAGTGGCCTTCGCCCTTTCTGCCAGCCTTGCCTGCATCCTTCTCAGAAGCAGGCTCTGAGGAGAAGGCTGCCTGTGTAGCTGTACAGAAGAGAAACCAAATCTAGATTCTTTCCCACTAAAGTGACATTCGAAACCTTATAGATCTGTTGAACGGCACTGACGGGTCTCTGCTGCTGCGAACATGGATGTCTTTCTAGAGTTACTTATTAGGGATTATGGGAGTTGCTGGGCACACCCAAACCCCATTCCGGTGTAGGGCGTAGATGTTGGCCAACTTGATGATTCTTCAGGTGTCATAGCAAAGTATTAGAAAATAGAATTGTAGAGTTGGAGGGTCATCTAATTCAACCCTCTTCAATGCAGGAATCACAGCTAAAGAACCCCTCTGTTTGAAAACCTCCAACAAAGGAAAGTCTATCACCTCCTGAGAGCCATTCCACTGTCAGACAGCTCTGTCAGAAAGTTATTCCTCGTATTTAGTTGAAAATCTCCTTTAATTGCAATTTGAATCCATTCGTTTGAGTCCTACACTCCAGAGCAGCAGAAAACAAGCTTGCTGCGTCTTCCCTATGACCGCCCCATAGATTTTTGAAAATGGTGATCATACTATATTTAAATAGATTTTGGCTGATGATGTCCCAGTTTTCTATAACAAGCAGGGCTGTCCCCAACCCTCTGCAGGCTCAAAAGCTAGGGGTTGTGCAATCAAGTTAAATGCCACTTCTGAGTGATGTTGACAGACAGGAGTGTTTGAGAACCTACCTTTCACTTGAGCAGAGATGATCTTACCTTCTGCTCACCTTGTGAGTGAGCATGTGGTCCAGCGACAGAGCTCTGTCAAAAGCTGGGTTTTTAAAACGTTGTCTTCTCAAAAACTCCCAACAGCCTAGGAAGCAAATCATCATACCTAGATGTTGCGGCTCTGAGCTCTAAAATATTTGGAATACGCTCCCCTCTAGCAAAGTTCCCAATAGCATTAGGGTAGTAAACTCATTCGTGCGTGATCTCTGCCGCTTCAGACTGCAGGAAGTTAGATGTTGAAACTGTTGAGTGAAACTGGGAACTGACTTGTCTGTTTTGAGTGTCGGATCCATCCTCTTCAGGAAATGCAATGGCGCCCAGCGCGCTTTCGCTGCGCGGTGCTGAGCGTTCCGCTTCTCCCGACTATAGCAGAGTTTCTTCAGCAGCCGTGTGTCTGTGTGTAAGGATTTATCAGCACGGCAGTACAGTGGTACCTCTGGATGCGAGCGGGATCCGTTCCAGAGCCCCGTTCGCATCCTGAAGCAAACGCAACCCGCGTGCGCGGGTCGCGATTTGCCGCTTCCGCGCATGCGCGTGACGTCATGTTGAGCGCATGTGCGAGCAGCAAAACTCGGAAGTAACGCATTCCGTTACTTCCGGGTCGCCGCGGAGCGCAACCCAAAAACGCTTAACCTGAAGCATATTCAACCCGAGGTATGACTGTAAAACTCTCGTACACAGCTTCTTGTATTCTGTGAAGCTTTAATGGACAGCAGCAAAACAATAAGTCAGCCAGGTGAGAGCGACGACATGTTGCCTTTCCTTTGCAGCCAAAACAGAAAGTGAAAGTAAGTTCACAATCGGGGGAACAGGACGTCATTTCCCTTGAGCTATTAACCCTGTAAGCTCTGGGATTCCTCATGGAAATGCCCCTTCATGGAGGATGAGAATTAAGAACATCAGGCCAGTGGTCCATTTAGTCCACCATCTTCTTCTCACAGTGACCAACCAGATGCCTCTATTGGGAAACCCAGAAGCAAGATCTGAGCGTAAGATCAGCACTCAACTGGTGTTGGAATGCTTTGCTGTCTCTATGGAGGCGGAGCAACAGCTATTGCGGCTGCTAGCAAAGGCTCAGGACTCCTGAGTCCCAAGGGGAATTCCCAGAATGGGATGGAAAGGGAAAACTGGGAATCGATATTTCACAGCGATGGTGATGGCGTTGAGGGTTTTAAGCAGCAGGGAGTCTGGGAAGGAAACGAGCAAGGCAGGGAGGGAAGGAGGAAAATAAATAAAAAAGGAGGTGTGATTAGGGATGGGAGACGAATTCAATTCATTCTGGATTTCAAGGCAAACATACGTAATTTGCCCTTTTTGGAACAATATAGGAGCTGAAATACAGCCCGCCTTCAAAGGGAGCACTTTGCTGGATTTTGCAACATGGGTGTCTAGCTCAGAAAAGTTGTACTGGGATTAATATAAATAGGGTGAGATGTGGATACAAATGAATCTGTTGGTGGAAATAACTTACAAAATTGCAAGGTCATGAAAATTGTTCTGCAAACACATGAAAGTCACACTAAAAAAGGCTTGTGAATTTTCATGAGGAATTATTGGTACAGTTGGGTTTAAGATTGGGAAAATGAGAAAGCGGGAGAAAGCGAAATTGACAGATTAACTGCTATCCCCACAGCATGGTGGGCTTCCTTGCACCCTTTTGGCAACCTCTCCCCAAAACAAACAGGCCACCCTAGATAAGGAATAAGAAGAAATTAAGCAGTTTTCATATTGTCAGTCTTTGACTCCCTGCTCAGACATTGCGGTTGATTCTGTGTTGTGTTTCCTCCTTCTCTGCATTTGTATTCTTAGTTGCAAACTACCCAAAAGCATCCTACCTTTATGAGCGGCGTAGAAAACCTTTATTTAAAAAAGTAATAAAGAATTAAGATTTTGAAGGATCTCTACACGCTGAAAGTTGTGACTGTTTTCCTCCAACATATCCCTAAGATGCACACCCTTCAACTGACTCACTGCACCCTAAACTCTCACGGCGTTCCTACAAATTCAAAAGTTTGCTGTGAGCAATTTCACTACCTTCTCCCTAGCTCATAGGTAGGCAAACTAAGGCCCAGGGGCCAGATCCGGCCCAATCACCTTCTAAATCAGCCTGCAGACGGTCCGGGAATCAGCATGTTTTTACATGAGTAGAATGTGTGCTTTTATTTAAAATGCATCTCTGGGTAACTTGTGGGGCATAAGAATTCATTTATTTCCCCCCAAAATATAGTCCGGCCCCCCGCAAGGTCTGAGGGACAGTGGACCGGCCCCCTGCTGAAAAAGTTTGTTGACCCCTGCCCTAGCTGGAAGTTCTCAGCACTGACACAATATGATGAGACGAATAGTTAGAGAGACATTCCTGGCTATCTGGAGACTGTCTCCTACCATTAACTCCCATTGATGAACCATCAGCTGTTATCAAGCGATTGACCTTTGAAAGGATGGCCATCTAGCAGCCGTAAAACCATTTGGCCTGTGATCATAAATAGCTGCAAAGGAGGGTGGATTGTGGGAGTGCGTCCCAGGAGACCAAGATGTTCTCCTTGAGGTCACTGGGTCAGCAACCTTCCTATTGCAGGAATTTAATGTTAGGATCCTTGCAATGGGTTCCAGAGTTTGATCCGGAAGCTCCGCAAAACATCCTTTTTTACTGGTTCTTAGAAGTGTGTCTCTTGCCGGGTGTACAAGGCAGTCGGAACAAAGGAGGTCATGGTTGACACAAGCTTTATGGCTGTTGAAAGATACGTGCACACAGCTTAATGCAAGCAACAAAAGGATAAAATCACACAGGCATGTGAAGAATGAACAAGAGGAATTTCTTACGCAGCAGAGATTAAAAGTAGTAGGGGTGACCTGTCAGCCAAGGGTCTTACACATGGGTAGGCAAACTAAGGCCCGGGGGCCAGATCCGGCCCAATCACCTTCTAAATCCGGCCCGCGGATGGTCCAGGAATCAGCGTGTTTTTACATGAGTAGAATGTGTCCTTTTATTTAAAATGCATCTCTGGGTTATTTGTGGACGCAGATGGCGCTGTGGGTTAAACCACAGAGCTTAGGACTTGCCAATCAGAAGGTCGGCAGTTCGAATCCCCGCGACGGGGTGAGCTCCCGTTGCTCGGTCCCTGCTCCTGCCCACCTAGCAGTTTGAAAGCACATCAAAGTGCAAGTAGATAAATAGGTACCGCTCCAGCGAGAAGGTAAACGGCATTTCCGTGCACTGCTCTGGTTCACCAGAAGTGGCTTAGTCATGCTGGCCACATGACCCGGAAGCTGTACGCTGGTTCCCTCGGCCAATAAAGCGAGATGAGCGCCACAACCCCAGAGTCGGTCACGACTGGACCTACTGGTCCCTTTACCTTTAAGGAGTCTCAAAGCGGCTAACATTCTCCTTTCCCTTCCTCCCCCACAACAAACACTCTGTGAGGTGAGTGGGGCTGAGAGACTTCAGAGAACTGTGACTGGCCCAAGATCACCCAGCAGCTGCATGTGGAGGAGCGGAGACGCGAACCCGGTTCACCAGATTACGAGTCCACCGCTCTTAACCACTACACCACACTGCCTCTCTAATAGGTAACCCTCAAGCAGGTCCTGAGTGGAAGAGCCACTTTCTCCTCCTGTAACTTCCTGCAACTGGGATTCAGAAGTGCTCCAGCCTCCAACCATGGAGGCAGAGAATAGCCACCGTGACTGGTAGCTGGTGAGACCCTCCCACCGGGATTCATGCTGGAGATGCAACCTGCGATCTTCTGCATACAAAGTAGGTGTTCTACCACTGCAAAGTCCCCAAGTTCCCCAGGAAAACCAGGACATCCCATAGATAGATAATTTATTACGGTCAAAGACCAGCTCTCATAACACAAAAAAAACAGCGTTCATAAAGATAAAATATACAATCGGAGCAGATTGCAGCAATAATTCATGAGTTAAAATTGGGATATATACATACACCCGTACAACTGAGATTTGGGCTACCATAAAAATTGTTCCTGAGGCACCCCAAAGGGCGACGTCATCATTTCCCTAGTAAGCTATTTTATTCTAGAGGATGATCTGTGCCTACAAATCTGGGCTCAGAATCTGGCTACCAGCCAGGTCATCTTGTGATCTTTGCCTAAGACACCCCATATTTCACCACAAGAGAACGGCTGCCATTTTGCTTGCCACGATCTCGCATGATTTCGTGGCGCAATTCCTCCCTGAGGAAAGCTTTTGGGGGGCTGCAATCTCATGCGGTGCCCCAAAAAAGAACGTGGGTGGCGCTGCAGTCTAAACCACTGAGCCTAGGGCTTGCCGATCAGAAGGTCGGCGGTTCGAATCCCCGTGACGGGATGAGCTCCCGTTGCTCGGTCCCTGCTCCTGCCAACCTAGCAGTCTGAAAGCACATCAAAGTGCAAGTACATAAATAGGTACCACTCCAGCGGGAAGGTAAATGGCATTTCCGTGCGCTGCTCTGGTACGCCAGAAGCGGCTTAGTCATGCAGGCCACATGACCCGGAAGCTGTACGCCGGCTCCCTCGGCCAATAAAGCGAGATGAGCGCCGCAACCCCAGAGTCGTCCGTGACTGGACCTAATGGTCAGGGGTCCCTTTACCCTTTATCTAATCTATGTGGTGCCCCAAAATGTGCGTTCTTGGGCATTGTGCCCCCCCCAAAAAAAAACTTGGAGGGGGGAACCACAGTGCGAGATCACAGCAACCCAAATGGCCTCCATGTTCTGGTGATAAAAAACGGGAAGATGGCGCCCAGGAAGATAGCATCCTGGATTTTGGCTTCAAAGTGTTGGCTGCTGTAGTGGATACTGATCCTGCACTGCAAGGGGTTGGACTAGATGATTACAGGGGTCCCTTCCAGCCCTGTGATTGTATGAGAGACAAATACTCTGACCTTGCATAAGGCAGCCTTTCTACATTGCAGCCAAATTTATCTTACCTGTCAAAGCAAGATATTATTTCGTACGGCTTGTTACCCTTTAACATTTCCCCATGGCTCTTGATTAGTCACGCAGACACCCTGGATCAAGACTCCAGGGTCCAGTGACTTTGCCGCCTGGTGCAGAGTCTCAGCAGACGGTCTTACGCAAGTGCAGAGGGCTGCAGGCGTTCATGGGTGGCGATGGAAAGGGAGAGGCGACATTCTGCCTGGGCGGCTTGGAAAAACACCAGCCGGCTGCAACACCCTGCCCCAGGGACTGGATCGTGGCCCCTGCCTTGTCACCCAAAGAAGAGGAAGAAGGTTCCATTGTTCCGCATAATTCTCCCTGGCAGAAACCGAGAGCTGTTTTACGAACGCCTGGTGAAAAGAGAGCCCTGCCCTTTCGTTACGAAACCAAAGCACTCATGAATGCAAACATTAATACCCCCAGAGGGAACATTAAGTCCAGAGCTTTGTTTTCCCCTAGCCGGAACTCACCAGAACGCAGTTCTGGCACCTGTCAAGGTAGGCACCATTGGCATTGTAAGAGAAGAAGAGAGGCATTCATAGAGAGTTTTTGCACCTCTTTTTCTAGAAAAATAGCACTGGTTAAGTCCCTTTCCAAGTTCACATAGAGATATCACAGAAATATCGCTGCATTGAGTGGACAAGCCCAAGAGCTGGCCCAACAGTCAAGAAAGTGGTTTCTGCATGTGCTATTGTAATGGCCTGGGACTCGGGCTCGGACTCGGAACCAGAGGAGTCTCAGTCTGTACTGGATCCTTTGCCTCAGGCATCATCTGAACCAAGTCTGGGGCCTGATCCTGAAGAGTCCCAGTCTGCACAGGTTCCCCTGCAACAAGCACCAGCTGGGCCGAGTCAGGGGCCTGAGCCTGCCCTGGCTCCAGATGTGGGGATGACCTCGTTGCCTTCAGCTGGGCCATCACTTACAGCTGCTCCACTACCAGTTGGGTCAGGGGAGGCTGAGGCGGCCTCTGGGTCTAGTAACCCACCGATGTATCCCGAGCTGCAGAGACTCAGGTCTCAGAGAAGGAGAGACCTAGAATCATAGAATCATAGAATCATAGAGTTGGAAGAGACCACAAGGGCCATCGAGTCCAACCCCCTGCCAAGCAGGAACACCATCAGAGCACTCCTGACATATGGTTGTCCCTGAGTACTTGCAGGAAGAGTGTTCGCCTTCGGGTGAAACAGGGAGGTGAGTCACCAGGGGATCAGGACTGGCCGTTACCCAGACAAAGATGAAAGGCTGTCGGACCTCGCCCCAGGTTGCGGGAGCAACATTGCTGTATGCTAGATCTTGCCTGAGATTCTGTACCTGTCCCTGCCTGGTTTCCTGCCTTGTGTCCTGCCTTGGCCCTGTCGGACTGACTCCTAGCGGAACCTTCAGATTCTGGACCCGTCCTGGACCACATTTCATGGGTTACCCCCGGGCCCAGCACAGCTATGGAGGGAAGTGAGGGGCAGGTGGAGCTTGTCAGCCTGAGAAAGGAGCCCATCTAGAAGAAGGAAAACTCTGGTCCTCAACCTCTGCTGCATTGTAGGGTATCTTCAGGAGAAGAAAAGAGAAGTAAACGCTGTACACATCCAGAGTGGAGTCCTTAAGGCTGGATGGCACCTTGTACGCCTCCTTCCAGCAACTCCTGCAGCCAAGCTGGTGCCAAACATTTCGCTCTGCTTTCCTTTGGACCACAACAGCGAGGCAGAGAGGGGTGGGGGTTTGTCGCCTTGGCAGCCCAGGACCCCCACACACTCTGCCCAGGCTTCGCCCTTGGTGATGCACTCCATTGTCTTTTGAGTCAGACGGATGCCAAGAATTGCTCTAGTTATCTCCCACTTGGGCTACTTACTGCAATGCGCTCTACGTGGGGCTACCTTTGAAGGTGACCTGGAAGCTACAACTAATCCAGAATGCGGCAGCTACACTGGTGACTGAGAGTGGCCACCGGGACCACATAACACTGGTCCTGAGAGATCTGCACTGGCTCCCAGTACGTTTCTGAGCAGAATTCAAAGTGTTGGTGCTACCTTTAAAGCCCTAAACAGCCTCAAAGGCCCAGTATCGTCTCCACCCCTGTCGTTCAGCCCAGACACTGAGGTCCAGCTCCGAGGGCCTTCTGGCGGTTCCCTCACTGTGAGAAGCCAAGTTACAGGGAACCAGGCAGAGGGCCTCCTCAATGGTGGCGCCCGCCCTGTGGAACGCCCTCCCACCAGATGTCAAGGAAATAAACAACTATCTTACTTTTAGAAGACATCTGAAGGCAGACCTGTTTAGGGAAGTTTTAAATGTTTGATTTTGCTTTTAATATTCTGTTGGGAGCTGCCCAGAGTGGCTGGGGAAACCCAGCCAGATGGGTGGGGTATAAATAATAAATTAGTAGTAGTAGTAGTAGTAGTAGTAGTACATCTTTTCACCTCTCTCTCCCTGTCTACCCACCACCACCCGAGGCCCACCTTCAAAATTATGAGCAACCTTCAAAACCCCCAAAGTGGAAAATTCTGCCTTTCCCTCAAAGCCGCTGCCTTACGTTCCCCCACTCACACTGATGCAAATAAATGCGTCATTGTCTTTCATTTTGCTTCCAAGGTTCGGGCACAAGTACAGCAGAGGTTGGCAGCACAGAAATGAAAGTGGGAAGGGGGTTGCAATGGAGTATCCTGGCAGTGGGCAGGGCTGACTGACTGGAACGTCAGGCGGGAGCAATCCACATTAGAGCATGGTTTTATAGCTTAAAAAGCTGGTGAGTCTTAGGTCAACCATGGATGCTGTTCCCATTATCATCCCTTCCCAATTGACAAGTACTGGGGCTGAAGGGGACATTCTGCTCTGGAAAAACACTAGCTGGACTTCTCCAATCCATAAACCACGGACTGACCTGAGTTTAATGGACCTGTTTCATAACTTTCCCTCAAGGCTGCTGAGATAAGGCAGGCGTTTCGGGACCCCAGGACCTGGGAAATTATTACCTCTGATAATGCAGGAGGGTGGTTTTTTTCCCCCAGAAGACAGGGCTTACGCGATTTCCATCACCAAACCTTTACAGAAGCCGCTTGCATTGTGTGTTTGGATCGCCTGCTCAGCGCTCAACATACAAGTGAAACTCGGAAAATTAGAATATGGTGGGAAAGTTCATTTATTTCAGTAATGTCATGAGTCTATCTCATATATTAGTTTCACCTTTTAAGTTGAAGGTGAAACTAATATATGAGATAGACTCATGACATGCAAAGCAAGATATGTCAAGCCTTTATTTGTTATAATTGTGATGGTCATGCTGATGAAAACCCCAAATTAACAATCCCAGAAAATTAGAATATTAAATGAAATCAGCAAAACAAGGATTGCAAATAGAGCAATATTGGACCTCTGAGAAGTAGAAGCATGCATATGTACTCAGTGCTTGGTTTGGGCCCCTTTTGCATCAATTACTGCCTCAATGCAGCGTGGCATGGATGCTATCGGCCTGTGGCACTGCTGAGGTGTTATGGGAGACCAGGATGCTTCAATAGCAGCCTTCAGCTCTTCTGCATTGCATTCCAATATTGCTCTATCAGCTGTACGCCACGATCGTCACAATGATAACAAATAAAGGCTTGACGCATCTCGCTTTACATGTCATGAGTCTATCTCATATATTATGAGTCTATCTCATATATTAGTTTCACCTATAAGAGCAAGAGAAGAGCCTGTCGGATCAGGCCAGCTTCCTGTTCTCACAACCAGGTGCCTGCGTGGGAAACCAGCACGCAGGATTCTAACCTGAGAGCAAAATGTGATGGGTGCAAATATGCCTTTTAGCCGACTGTATACTGGATGTTATCTTCTGACTTGTTCTTGGTTTGGTAGGAATTATGGCCTATTCACGAATGTGTCCACCCACCTGTCAAATGTGGTCCATTGGGTGGGGTGGGTGGAGAAGGTAAAGATCTGGGTCACTGCCCAAATCCAGTCTCCCCAACCCTGGATTAAAGGGTTTAGTGAACGGCTCAAGCAGAAGAAGTGGGTTTTATTCATTTCAACCTCCATGATCAAGCAGTGATGGGAAGCAGTCTTTGAGCTATCCCAGATCAAAGTTGCTAAGGACCTTGCGAATTAATAGGTAAAGGTAAAGGGACCCCTCACCATTAGGTCCAGTCGTGACCGACTCTGGGGTTGCGGCACTCATCTCGCTTTATTGGCCGAGGGAGCCGGCGTACAGCTTCCGGGTCATGTGGCCAGCATGACTAAGCCGCTTCTGGCGAACCAGAGCAGCGCACGGAAATGCCGTTTACATTCCCGCCGGAGCAGTACCTACTTATCTACTTGCACTTTGAGGTGCTTTCGAACTGCTAGGTTGGCAGGAGCAGGGACCGAGCAACGGGAGCTCACTCTGTCATGGGGATTCGAACCTCTGACCTTCTGATCGGCAAGTCCTAGGCTCTGTGGTTTAACCCGCAGCGCCATTAATTTATTACAAATTAATACAAGACCCTTAAACTGGGCCAGGTAGCATATGGGCAGCCCGTGGAAACATTTCAGAACCGGTCTCACACCCTCCAACATTTGGGCTTGCACTCTAGTGGTACAGCTAAGGGAGCTGGGCATGTTTAGCCTGGACAAGAGGAGGTTAAGGGGTGATATGATAGCCATGTTCAAATATATAAAAGGATGTCACATAGAGGAGGGAGAAAGGTTGTTTTCTGCTGCTCCAGAGAAGCGGACACGGAGCAATGGATCCAAACTACAAGAAAGAAGATTCCACCTAAACATTAGGAAGAACTTCCTGACAGTAAGAGCTGTTCGACAGTGGAATTTGCTGCCAAGGAGTGTGGTGGAGTCTCCTTCTTTGGAGGTCTTTAAGCAGAGGCTTGACAACCATATGTCAGGAGTGCTCTGATGGTGTTTCCTGCTTGGCAGGGGGTTGGACTCGATGGCCCTTGTGGTCTCTTCCAACTCTATGATTCTATGATTCTATGATTCTATAGTGTGAGCCAACTGACTTGCACCACAAGTCTGTATGAGAAAACACCCGACTTTTGGTCTTGCGCCTTGGTGCAGCCCAAGCATGGGAGCTAAAATGCAACCTCTGGGATTGCCATCCTAAGCCGGGGAGGCTTAGTCAATCCAGATTGCCCCCCTTAAAATGTGACAGTTGTGTATTATGCTGTCTGCCCCCATCAACAATCTAGCCGCAGTGTTTTGCAGCAGCTGTAGTCTCCAAGAGAGGACCCACATAGAGCCCATTGCAGTAATCCAGCCTTGAGGTTACCGGAGGATGAATCGTGCATTTGAATGATTTGAAGGAAGAGAAAGAGGTCAAAGTCTTAGGAGGTAGTTTCAGGATTAGGGGTCAGCAAGGGAGAATGGGAGGTGTGGTATCAGAAAAGAAGAAGAAGAAGAAGAAGAAGAAGAAGAAGAAGAAGAAGAAGAAGAAGAAGAAGAGGAAGAAGTTATTTATATCCCGCCCTCCCCAGCCAAAGCCAGGCTCAGAGCAGCTAACAACAGTAAAAATAACACAGTTTACATAAAATCACAATCAATTAATTGAAATACATTCTAAAATAACTTCATTCTAAAATCAATTCAGAGTCAAATTAATGGCAACAGTTGGGCTAGAGTTCTGTGAGGATTACCAAAGGAGGTGGTCAGACTGCCCTGGCCAAAGGCCTGGTGGAACAGCTCCATCTTGCAAGCCCTGCAGAAAGATGTCAAGTCTTGCAGGGCCCTAGTCTCTTGTGGCAGAGCGTTCCACCAGATCGGGGCCACAGCCGAAAAAGCCCTGGCTCTAGTTGAGGCCAGCCTAACCTCCCTGTGGCCCGGGACCTCCAAGATGTTTTTGTTTGAAGACCGTAAGGTCCTCCGTGGGAGGGAGAGGCAGTCCCGTAGGTACGAGTGTCCTACGCCATAAAGGGCTTTAAACAGAGGTTCTTCCAGTTTTCTGACGATGGTTGAGTTGGAGGAATGAAGGCAGGGGCGTAGGAAGCGGGGTACGGTCCACCCCAGGTGTCATCCTTGAGGGGGGTGACAAAATGGTACACCACAGGGGTCGGCACTTACCGCAGGGCCTGGCCTGCAGTGCGCCCGAGCCACACGTCTCTCCCGGGAGTGACATGGTGCCCAGGCGAACTCCATGGGCAGCTTGCCGCCTTGCCCCTCTGGGTGGAGTACCAAGGCACCCCAATGCACGGATCATCGTAGCACCCTGGAGCACAAATCACCATGGCGCCCCCGTGGGGGGTTGCTCACGCCTGTGGGCGACTCGCCCCTCCCTCACCGCTCCGGGTGCCAGAGCAACTAGCGACGCCCCTGAGTGAAGGTCAGAGGCAGGGATATAACAGCATATCAGGGCAGGGAAATGTGAGTGGGGTGGGAGCCATGAAAAGTGCTGGATACAGAAGGATCTAATTAATCTCAAGAACACAGTAAGAGTCTGTTGGATCAGGCCAATGGGCTATCTAGTCCTGTCCTCACAATGGCCGACCAGATACCTCTTTGGGGAAACCAGCAATCAGGATTTTAATTCAAGAGCACTCTCCATACGGCTTCCACTTACCACTGTGCAATAGCTAAGATAAATTCCTGCAGGCTCCATAGGGTCTCGATTTATATTGATTATTCACAGTACAGACATACCTCATGTTACGTCCGCTTCATGTTACGTTCTTTAACGTTACATCCCGTGGCGATCTGGAAGTACCAGAAAGGGTTACTTCCGGGTTTCGCCACTCGCGCATGCGCAGATGCACAAAATGACATCACACGCATGCACAGAAGCGGTGAATCGCAACCCGTGTGTGCGCGGACGCACCGCTGCGTGTTGCGCTCTTTTCATGTTGCAAATGAGCCTCTGGAACGGATCCCGTTCGCAACCAGAGGTACCACTGTGGTGCAGTAATTTCCCTTCTACATCAGTCACAGCAGCCAACAGGGCCAACTTATCCATAGGCGCTAGGGGTGTGGGGCACCCGCATGCCAGGCTCTCAGGGGCACCAGGCTGAGAGTCCAGGGCCAAGATTTGGAGTCCAGTGATGAAGAGCCAGGCCAGCCGACAGCCGCTGCCAAGCTGCGCAGAGCCCATCAGAACGCCGCAGGCTTTTCTGCTGCGGGCACTGAGGCCGCCGGCCGGCTCCGCCCTCCTGTGCGCCTGGGATTGGCAGACCGTCGAAAGGCCCGCCCAGCACATGCCTGCTGCTCACACGAGGCACACAGCTTCCCTTCCAAGCCTCTGCAGGGATTGCTCTCCACCCGTAGCGGCATGGGAGAGTGTTGCGTTGTTGTTGTTGTTTAGTCGTTTAGTCGTGTCCGACTCTTCATGACCCCATGGACCAGAGCACGCCAGGCCCTCCTGTCCTCCACTGCCTCCCACAGTTTGGTCAAACTCATGCTGGTAGCTTTGAGAACACTGTCCAACCATCTCGTCCTCTGTCGTCCCCTTCTTCTTGTGCCCTCCATCTTTCCCAATATCAGGGTCTTTTCCAGGGAGTCTTCTCTTCTCATGAGGTGGCCAAATTCTAGGAACCTCAGCTTCAGGATCTGTCCTTCCAGTGAGCACTCAGGGCTGATTTCCTTCAGAATGGATCGGTTTGATCTTCTTGCAGTCCATGGGACTCTCAAGAGTCTCCTCCAGCACCAGAATTCAAAAGCATCCATTCTTCAGCGATCAGCCTTCTTTATGGTCCAGCTCTCACTTCCATACATCACTACTGGGAAAACCAGAGCTTGAACTATACGGACTTTGTTGGCAAGGTGATGTCTCTACTTTTTAAGGTGTTCTCTTGGTTGTGTGCCTCCCCCCAAACAACTCTGAGCTGCCCCCCTAAAAGACGCTCAACAACTTTGGCCTCCCCCCAAAAAAAATAAAATTGGGGGCACCGGGCAGTTTTTTGCACTCTGGCGCCGCATATGCTAAAGGCATATGGAGAAATGATCTTAACACTTTGAACTGAAGCAGACCTTGCATGGATGTGACTTGAATCTGTACCGTAAAGTATTTCCCAAGCCCATTATGATGCCATGTGTATGACTGCATGCAAGACTTAACATCTGTACATGCATTCTTCCCAGAAGACAACACTTGGTTGCTCTTTTTTATTTTTATTTTTAAAATAAAGTTTGTTTGTTTTTTAAAATTTTTATTTTTTACCAACAACCAAAACACAAACAGGGAACCACCACCCCCCAGGCAGCTGATACATTGGGTATACATAATCAATAATAACATAGTCAAATCAACCATATGTACAATT